AAGAGGTGTATTGCATCATATTATCCCTAATATATGTGTGGGTATATACATTCCTGTGTGTTAATAGTTGAAGGAACAAAGTACATTTTTCCTCTTAAATATAGAGAGGTTTTTTATAGATTCCTGAAACAATGTTCTCTTTTCTTAAAAGTAGATTAGCGCAATAGTCTTTTTCGTTCACTTTTACCCTTTTTATCAAAAGGGTGTTTTTAGGCTATTTTTGAGGAGGTAAAATGCAGAATTACTTGTGAGTTCTGTTTTGAGTGAAAAGATTACCCCTTTGAGTGTTTTTCTTGGTTAACCATTAGATATAATGGTTAAATTCTTCTTAAGTTAATGATGCGCATCCTGCAGGCCTTGAGAATTGAGTCACACAGTTAAGAGAGACAATGGTCCTTCTGATTCTGGGTGAGCTGACTTCGGGTGGATGGAAGTTCAGAGATGGCCTGGGGGTATGAAGACAGTTAGGCGTTGTTGGTGAGCTGGTCCTGAGGAGGTCATGAGATGATAACTGTTACATTTCCAACAAGTATGGCTTTCATAAAGAAACACATAACTTATGTGATAAACTACATGATAAGATGTGTTTTGTTGCAAAGTGAGCCTGTTTTGTTCTCTGCTGGCCCGCGCTGATTCACTGTGACACAGCATCTTTTGCATCTCCCAATGAGATGACCTGAAAAGATGATCAGCTGACCTAACCCCTCCTGTCTTTTCTTGTATATCTCCTGTGGAGTCCTGGCGTTCGCTCTCTCTTCTCGGGCTGCCAGGACCGAAGGATCTACGCAGCACGCGAACCAGGGCAGGAGTGGGCCTACTCCTTACATTACAGTATAATTGTATTGTATTATATTGTATTGTAATGTATTATATTGCATTGCATTATTACCTTTTATAATTAAAACAGATTATTGTTTAAACTGGTATCCGGGTGTTCTCTGATTTCCTTCCTATTACGATTTTAAGCAGGACTCGTGAAAACGACACGCGGAGCCGAGTGGGGTTGTAAAAACCTCAAAACTCCTACAAGCCAAAACCTGAACCCTCAATAACATCCTGAAAACATCCTCTGAATGTTGCAGTTAAAACGTTATGTCTTAGTTAACCTTAAACCTTATAGGAACATTATTTGAAAAAATAAACATCCTAAAAAGGTTCTTTGAACATCAGAATAAAAGGTTTCTTTAAAACCTTATTAGAACCAATAGGTAACGTTAGCCAAAGTTGAGAGAATGTTCCCCGCTAACTGGGGTGCTGCAGCACAGGCAGTATGAGAAAAATAAAGAGCTTTTTGAACATTAAAGCATTGAGACATGTACAATAGAGACACAAATATGAACACAAAGGGGAGTATAAGCTAAATCAGATAAATAAGGAAGTCATTATGCTATCAGTCAAATACACACTTCATTGTGGCATTATGCACATATCCTATATAGAAAACAACATTCTTTATATGCCCATAGATTTTGCAATAATCTTAAAGCTATAACTTGTAGGGTCTAAAATAAGTTGAATTTTACGGATGTGTTTCGGTATCATCCCCCTATAATAAATCACTGTCGTAAAAAGGTGAGCTTTTGGTTATAACAGCTGTTATATATAGAGTCAGATCTATAGTGGAGGTGAGCAGTGAAGCATAGAGGGCGAGAGACAATGTTCCCTCAGAGAGTTATGTCCTTTTTCTCCTCTCAAGAACATTAAGGCATCTGTGAGCACCTCCTTTTCTCTTCTTTGCTTGCATTCTAAATACGCTCATCCTTGCATGCTACACAGTTCCATTCTTACTTCTTTATAGCTCTGTCCTTGCTTTCTTCCTCACACACCTACAGGAACACACTGTCATCTTGTATAACACAGTGTGAATGTGTCCACCCCCATGAGGACAGGTTGTAAGTGTATAGCATTCCCTCGGATGTGCGGGGTAACAATAGAAAGGACACACACAAATGAGCTAATTTAAACACATGCAAATAGATACACCAGACACGTTCAAGTATTGTACAGTTTGTCCTTCATGTCATTCATTAGCGGTGCGGCTCTGGGAGTGAACAGGACCGAGTGAGGAGTGAAGAAGGTGACTTTGTGCTGGCAGCATCCCAAACTGCTGCCTGGTGCTGCTGGTCAGCACTGTTACCGGGGGATACTTGCAGCGTTGCAGGAATGTGCAGCGCTCTTGTTCCAAAGTGTGTGATTTGTAGCACTTAGTCCACGAGAGCCCGGCCTCGATTTGTCAAGGCCGTTGACATGCATCATGTACAGTTTTTTTGTTTATGCTCTGCCATCTCACTGATAGGTTTCATGTTCAGATCTCAGCGTGCTTCCTATAAAGTCTGGCGCACGAGGTGTCATCCAACCAGTTTAATATTATATAAAACGGAGAAAAGTAGAGAATTGTCATATTTGAGAAGCTGAAAACAGCATTTTCTACCAACTGTGCACGAAAATTATATGAACCAATCAGTTGCCAATTATTTTTCATCATCGCTGCAGATTCAGTTGAAAAATCTGTCTTCTGAAAATGTTGCATAGAACTAAATTAGTAAAACGTTTGCTTATTTTTCGTCAAAAATGTACAGATGATTCGTTCTTACCCTACTAACCCTAACCCTAACCAACGGCCAGCCCTTGGTGGGAATTGAAGCACATCTTTGACTTTATTTGACCAATATCATATATTTCCCAAATCTCAGCAATTTCAGTCAGATTACACAGTTGATATAACCAAAGAGGAGATGTGGAAGAGAATATTCATTAGACAAAAAGGAAGACAATATGATGAAAAACAGTGTGACTGCTTGAGTTAATTTCCCTTTAAAATGGATTACAGCTTCTGTTTCCATGCAGCTTTTTCTGCTTGTAGATGGCAAACAAAAAAATCACACACTGGGATCCATGGTTCGGTATGCATCATTTAATTCTCACTGACATTTATGGTGTACAAAAACATATTTTAAAGCCTGGGACCTCCACTGTCACACTGACATGCAAATGCACAACAAATGCAACGGTTCACAGCAGCGTTTAGGCTGCTTTAGACTGATGATTTAAAGTGTCTAGAAAATCTGCCTTAACATCATCGAAACTGAGTAGATGAATGCTTTGTGCCAAGACAACATAAAAATAAAGATTTCCAAAACAGCCGTAAAACATAATTGTAGGCCTGTGGAACTGTAACATAGACACTCGTTGCTTATTAACACGAAATCGCTGTGTGGGAAGGGAGTTATATCAGACGTACATGCATTCCCATAAGAACTGTTTGTACGTCGTTATAAATCTGAACATACAGCAGGACAACCTATAAACAGACAATTTGTTGAAATGTTATTACCACTGAGTTACAAAAGAAAAAGTACACATAGGAGCAATGACAACTATCCTATCTTTATGTACAGTAGTGTTCTTTTGAAGAAGCAGATATCCATCCAGTTTGGGGATTCCATCTGCCAAAAAAAAGTGATATTTGTGTTGTTTTTTGTGAAAATATGCCGCCAATTGAAAAATGGAAAATCTCTCAGGTCAGTGTTGTGAAATCCTGGAAATACGTGCATCACAGGAAAATATTTTAAGATCCCTTTTTTCCAGGCTCTAGCTCTTACTCAAAATCAAGTGAATCAGATTAAATGTATGGCAGCTAATACAGCTTCACTTACAAAAGGAAAGGCATACTTGCAGTAAAAAATAAATACAACTAGTGTTAAATAAAACACTACCATGTAGACTGCTGCCACAGTTCTTACCACTGGAAATACAGTTAGGGTTAGTTTTATATGGATATCAACAAAAGTACGTCTTCATTTGCACATTACACTTTTGACATGTCAATGTATTTTCCAAAAAGGCAGAGTCCCAGTAGCCAGGATTGTAGCTTCAATCCAGAAAGAATACACAAAAACTGAAGATCTGAAACTTTTTATTTAATTAGTTTAATTTATGTGATGAAAAAGAAAATGTGTATAAAAGCATATTTAGGAAGTTTGGGAACTAATCTTTCTGAACATGGGAATGTAAACGATATCCGGTGAACTATGGCTGCTGTCTCGGAGGTTGGAAGAAGTTGTTTTCTGCGCTTCAGTGCTTTCAACGTAATGGAGTTTAAAACTGATACATTTGACTTTCAAATTGAGCTGAATGCAGGCTTAGGTTTTTGACTTGTTTTCAGTGTCATTATTTTGCTGCCTATGGTAAAAAAAAAAGAAGAAAAAAACATTGCTCACATTACATTAGAGACACATCTACTCTAAGCCTTTTTGCTGTCACAGTTAACAAGCTGAGGTACTTTATAGGCTTCAATATTTCTTCAAAACGGTTAAGACATTTCCAACAAGCATTAAAAACGATTTATCGAACAGTAATATACAATCTTTTTTATTACTTTCTGTTCTTTTTACATATTCCACAGTGGTGTCAGGGTGTCAGGCCCCAATCTTCTTAATTTGCCCCTTTGTCAAGGTTGGTTTTCCATGCAGTCTCACTTCAAAGGTGTCTCTTCTCAGCCCACTAAAAATACTCATCCATGCAGAATGTGGTCTTTTTGAATAGTTCCACTTAAATATTCAAGCACATCTTCCTATGGCATTGTAAATAACTGCTGGCCCAGCTGTTCTGTTGATCTGTTGGTACAATACTTTGCTCCACACTGAAATATCTACATCTACTGGATGGATTTGGTACAGACATTTTTGGTCTAAATCCTGAGGATTTATGTGATCCCCTGACTTTTCATTTAGCGCCACCAGAAGGTCACTTAAACTCTGGTCAAACACTACTTCAGAATATCCTTTAAAGCTTATGACTGACTCCTTGTCAGCCTCAGTTGCACTCTGGGATTGATGATGATACAGCATGCTAACATTAGCATGAACCGTTAACCAAATCACCAACAAATAACTGAGCCTGACAAGCTGTCAATGTCAGAAGTGCTAAAAATGTTGCGGCACAAAAGATAGTCATGTTTGAAATGTGGAAACATTTATTGGAATTGGAATGTGTAATTTTTGTGAGCATTTCAATCTAGCACAGGCAGCTACTGTGACAAGAGACAATATTTCAGGAATCTCATTACACTTCTGGCTTGTCAATGCCATTTAATGGAAATGTTGAGGCAAATCACACACAGCCTCAGAAAATGCTTCTCATCTCAGGCCAGAAGACATTGGACCCTCTCAGGGCTTTCTCCATCCACTGAGATACAGAGTTTGGACCTTTGACAGCAAGCTTCAGGTTTAAGTCTTCCTAACACTAAGGATAGTCATCTGTAGACACTCCTCCTTCAGAGCCACCAGTTCTGTCTTGTAGCTGCTGGTCTTTGCTCCATCAGCGTATACACAAGGCTGCTTCTTTGCTGCCAGCGGCGTTTCCATAGTCACTGAACCAGCGTTGAGTATCTCCCCGTGCGATGGTGAGGAAGAGGAGCCCTTGAAGCAAGCTGCAGAAAGTAAAGCTGAGAGCGCTCGGGCGACATCGTGCCGGGCCCCCTCGTTGACAAAACAGTACAAAATGGGATCGGCGACGCAGTTGAGGCTGGTCAGTGCCAACGACACATGGTAGGCTGCAAACAGGCTCTCCTCTGCGCCGCAGTCACATGGCTTATTTAGAAACATCACACTCCGCACCAGGAGCAGGATGTGATACGGTCCAAAGCAGAACAAAACAATCAGTATCAGACTCAAAGCCAGACGCTGAATTTTGGCCTTTTCCTGACGCTCTGTTGAGACGTTGCAGCGCACTGCTGCTAAAATCCCACGGTAGGCCACAAGCATGGCTGTCCATGGAGCGAGGAAGCCCAGAAATGTCCTGTAGAGGTTCATCCCTGCCACCCAGTCCTGCATGGGATACTTCTCAAAGCAGAACGTGTGGTTGAACCGGTCCTGGAAGAGCTCATCGTGGAAGAGGGGAGCAGAGTTTGCTACGATCTCAATAATCCACACCATGGCGCTGACCAGGACCGCTGTGGGAGGTTGGGAGAAGGAAGGAAAGAAGAGGAGTGATAAATAATCAACTTTTCAGAAACCTCCGTGTAAATATTGTACTGTATTGGAGGAAAAAAGACACACAAACACAGTTAATAGAGAATCTACGTGTCCGTTCACACGAGACCGATCGGAAGCGCTGGAGACGCTATGCCGGGCCTGTAAGTGGCGCTGTAGTCCTGCCACAAAAGCAGCGAAGAAGACTTCCCGCGCATGGTTGCCATGGTCGCCATGGTTGCCATGGTTGCCCTTCTGTTTATTCTCCGCTCTGGCTCTTTTTTTTCCTCCCCGAGGCAAGCGTGTGCTCCTGCTGTATGTCTCTCCGGTAGTCCACCAGCAGATGACAAACACCCACCTCTCCGCCTCTTCCAAGGGACGAGGGGACCGTGCAGCAGAGTTTCAGTTAGATTTGTTTTCGCCGGTCAACATGTGAAAAGTGCCGGTCAGAGGTCTACTTTGTTATTTATTGAGCTTTAAAACAAATTGATAACGACTCTGTATAATAATAAAAAACGGAGCCTCTCTTTTCCTCCCCCTCTTCTGACAGCCCAGCAGCTGATCTCTGCGCAGGAGAAGTGGGAGAGGCGGGGCTATTGCTTCAACGTTATCAGGAAATGATTGTATAGGCGTAAACACGGAGCCGTTTGCCCCCCCAGAGCGTTTCGTTTGCAGATCTATACCCATTTATTGGTTAAGTAGTCCTTGGTATGAAAAAGTTTGAGAAACACTGCTCTAAATAAAATCATTTTTTGTTTGTAGAAAAGTTAGAGAGGGGCCATGACCATGTTCTTGGCATAAGCTACGCATCATTACGTTTTAATAAAAGTAATTACTTTAGTAGACATTCTTGTTCAAATAGTTATTTATAAAACTTATTTTGCAATGGAAGTGATCTTATCTCTACACAAACTTGAATTTCCTGTTATGTCAAGGAATGTCAAGTTTGAAGACGCACATCCTCTCAGGGCTCAGTGGCCGCACAGTTTCGGGAACTAATGGTCACATGACCTATCTTTATCCTTCCAATACAGAAAATGAAATTGTACTGACTTTTGTGTTATTGAAAAGTTAGTTCTTTACCAATAAGTATTTTATTTCAGATGTATCTATCAGCATTTGTTTTAGGATGGCTTTAATATTTAAGGAGAAAACCCAACATACCTGTTTTGATTTGTCGGACCTTTGCAAAGCGCAGAGGATATGCCACAGCCAGGTATCTGTCCAGTGAGATACAGCAGAGGAAGGCGATGCTGACGTAGATGTTAGTGTAGAAGATGAAGCCGAACAATTTGCAGCTCTCCTGACCGTGGATCCAGTCATCGTGCTGCAGGAAGTAGTCGATCCACAGAGGAAGAGTGATGATGTAGAGGAGGTCAGCCACTGACAGGTTGATCAGGTAGATGCCAAGCTCATTGCGTTGCTTTACCTGGATGGAGGAATATGAAGAAGATGAGATTTCAAGTTTATGGATAAAATCATGTGCAATGATAGAGAGGGTCAAGAGTGTTTTGTTCAACTTCTGTGCTTTTGCATAAAAGGTAGTCAGTGAGAAGATTTTGAGGCAAGCAGTGCACATGTTTCCATTTTTGCAAAACTAAATAAAATGCAAATTATGAGTGTATTGTAATCATCTGCAAATCATTTGACTTCCTGAATGTCAAAACATAATAACAAATGCAGTCTTCAAATAACTGGTATGGCTGAATCTATTATTGTTGAAGAGCACTTGATAGCAACTGTGCATTAGGGACGTACAACCACAACGAGGGCTTGTACAGTAAATCAGAGAAAGAAATGTGAACAGATATTTCAGCGGCAGCAGATCAACTTGTCCACTTTATGGAATCTATTACGTTTCCTAATTGTATTTATCTGTACTTGGATTGGAATCAAGCCACTGTGAGATAACTCTGTTTCCCATGCAGTATTGATATTGCAATGTTAATATTTAGGCAGAACTGCCCATATAAATAAAAAGCGCGCCAACTATGTTAATGCTTTGTTCAATAATGACGTTGGTGGCTATAAGCCAGGCGGCAACCTCTGTGTCTGAAAAGAAAAGCCAATGTAGAAATGTCATAAACTTGCATTAATTGTAATGACCACGGGGGGGGGGGGGGGGGGGTGATTCGACTGTTTGCAAAAAGAAGACTTGTTGTTAGAAAATGACCTTACTTCTCACTTCATTCCTTACCTGAGTACACGTTTTATTGATTAATTATATAAATGGCTAGATTCAAGTTTTGTTCAATAGACATGATGTACATTTTGTAAATAATAATAATTCACACTTAGAGGAAAATACAGGATGAAGCAGCGTTTGCATTTAGTGCGGGGCTGCCCTGTGATTGACAGGTCTGAGTTTTCCGTGTTTTCGTCTTGCAACTTTAACCATTCAGCAATGTGTTTATTACAGTTCGTGAAAGTCACCTGCAACTAAAAATGTCCTGGCATGTTCGGTTGCATTAAAAAAACAATATGGCAAACACCAAAACACTGAATGCTTTAAAACTGCCAATGGTTGACGTCACAGTTACTATGTGTGCTTTTATATAAAGCCTATGATCTTATCAATGCAGTTATTGCTGCAGAGAACTGAATGGTGTTTTCAGTATACCCATGATGCACCTGTCACACAGCACACCTGGTAAATCATGCCATGTTGGGGCCAAGGCTCAAACTGAATGTAAAAAGTTGGAGTTTAAACGTTTGAGAAACGACCTCGATGCTGAGATGGAAGCAGAGCGCTACGTTGAAATGTCACTCCTTTGTGAGCTGGTGAACTTGCTTGAATGAAAAGTCAATAACAATGATGTTTGCTGCTGCCAAAGTAAACTGACAAGTCTGTGGGAAACACTGGAAATGTTTTAAGCCTTATGGGAAAATATCCCCAGTCGTCTGATGACTGTAGGTAATAAGACTGTCAGGCACATACAGGGGACGGAGTAGCTTCTTCGGATTTTCAAACATTTCTAGACTTCAGGATTCAGAGCACTGAGCAGAATATGTAGTTAAAAATGACTCAGTGATAGTCAGACTGTCAGGAGATTAGTAGATAGAGAGGCAAGCAGACGAGCAACCTAAACAATGTCTTTTGTGTAAGAGTGTGAAAATGATGTCTACTCCAAGGGGTCATGTTACACAAACCTAATAACAATATTGAGATACATAATTGTTATACGTTTATTACGTTCCTGTTTTGGGGTTTTCTAAGTAAAATCTAAACCGAACTAAAGTTCAGCTATAATTCTAAATGCCTTTGAAATTAGTTTACATTGCCCAAACTTTGAAAAAATATAAAATGTGTTAAAAGATTCATTAAACTCTAAGCAAACAAGGGACATTTTTAAGGTTGTCAACATTAATGCATTAACGCACATGATTCATCTGGAAACCATTTCATGTCTAACATTTTTTTACGCAAATTATAAAATAAGGAATTCTTTCTCCCAAATTCCTCACGTTATTCCAGCGCACATTTTTACCATGGGTTGCATTGAAGTGAAAAGGCAAAGGAGGTGACTCGAGACCTCTAGACATCAGTAAGAACCATCTCTACCTCGGTGTTACGGCACACAATGACAAATGTTCTGCACTCGTTACTTAGGTTTGGTGAGGACGAAGGAAATGTATTTTACTAAAGCATGCAGAAGCAAATTTCTAGGAGTTTCACAGGAATCTGAGATAGTGGACAGGGTCATCACTGCAGGGACACATAGTGCTCGCAGCAAGAATACTGCCATATGAGTATATGCCCTGTGTAGCACAGATTATACAGAGGGTGATCACAGTGGCTCTCTGTGACAGCGACTCTCTCAATGCTTTGGCTAAAGGTTTGTCAATTCAGAATTGCTATCAGAACCAGTGGCTGGTGTATGTTTGTGTATGTGTGTGCATGCACGCATGTGTGTCCTCACCTGCATATAGGCAGCCCACAGGGCCATGCAGTTGGTGGGCAGCCCCAGAACGATGACGATGATGTAGAGCGTGGGCTGGAAGAACTGGTCCACCTTACTGTCCACATTACAGAATGAGATGTTGCACATTGTCCTGTGTGGAACAACTATGTTTGGTGTGTGTGTGTGTGTGTGTGTGTGTGTGTGTGTGTGTGTGTGTGTGTGGTGTGTGTGTGGTGTGTGTGTGTGTGTGTGTGTGTGTGTGTGTGTGTGAAGCAACTCTCAGCTCTGAGTGTCCCTCTGTAGTTTAACTATGTTCCAGCTCCAACAGTTTGACAGTGACATGCCAACACTAAGCTCATGCTTGGCTATCACACGGCTGTCCCACATGAGGAAAAAATAACTATCATTTACGAGGCATTTCATTGTTCCTGTTTCTTAAAGCAATGTCCTCCTCGCCCAGTGGCCTTGACGTGCCATACTCCTTTCTCACCCTTCAAAGCCAGCCCCCGGATTGCCCAGCATGGAGGAAGAGAGGATAATAAAGGAATGGCCGAGGGATAAAATGTGGTGAAATTAAAGCTGCCTTATCAACGCTGTGCTAGGGCTCTGCCTGGACAGGACCTCATCAATCTTTCAGATGTTAGAGGTCTGCCAGGTCTACTGTAAAAAGGAGGGGCTGAGCATCAGTGTGTGTGTGTTTGTGTATGTCTGTGGGTGTGTCTCAAGGTCCTGATGACACACAAGACACCTCTGGGATGCTCGCTCTTAAACACAGGAATAACTTTGTAGAGATTCACCACCCTGGAGTTTGTTCTGCACTGCTGAACATCTGCAAGAGAGGAAGAAAGAGAGATGAAGAGAGCATTAAGCATTAAGCATGAAGAGAGCAGGATGCTTTATAATCAAAACGTCCGACAATACAACAATACATCATTTGTTTTGGGTTTGTTTCAGTGAAAAAAATGGGCCCATTGTTTTATGTTCATGAACTACCTGAGAATGCAAAAAATACAACTGTGTTTAAATAAGATAAACATGATTGATTGAAACCGAAACAGGACATTCTCTCTCCCAACTCATCGATTATGGCAGCTTGGGCATTGGCCCCAACCATCACATTTTGGCGCTCCACGTATCTCTTTGCGTGAAGAAACAAACTCAGGGCTTCCACCTAAGAGGCCACCGTTTGTGTCCCATGTTAAATCAAAATGCAACGTTGAAAATTCCAAACAATGTTTTTTTCCAGGAAAAAATCCAACGCATTAAACTACAACTTGAAGGTCTCGTGCATCATTTTGGAACCAGCTTGAGTTTGAAATTGAGGAAATTCAAATGAATGATGTATATTGTTCAGTAATTGACAAGTCCTCAAGTGCCCATACCAGCCTGAAATGCAGAAACAGAAATCTGTCAAGACTGCAGTTTGTCTTTAATTTTTCCTACGTGCCTAGTCCTTCTGACACCTCAACCATTAGACTTAGAGTTTCATGCTCATTTCCTGTATTCATTTCCTGTGCTCTATAGATCACATATACTTTGAATGCACCCAAGCGTTTTGAAACAACTCTCCGACGCGCTGTTTCAGCCATTTGGCTTGGTTATTTGAAGTGTATGGAATCTCTTGCAGTGATAACAAACTACTGAAAACTAGAATGTACACACCCTCAACATATACAGTCAAACCCTTTTGATAAATTGTAGTTGTCCCGTGATGGATTGAGATTGAGAATGGAAAAAAGACTCACAGAGTGTAAGTCTTTGTACAGTGAAACAGGAGAATTTGTATCGATGGGACATTTAGATTTTCCAACATCTGGGATGATAACACAGAACATGCTGACACGACGTACTGGCAGTAAAAGGCCTTGCATCGAGTGCAGACAAAGAGCCCAGGACATATGATAAGCTTTATGTAAGCTTGTATCTAAACATGACCTCAATAAGGCATGTAGAGAGAGAAAGAAGGACCCAGTTTCTGTTTCACTACAAAACTTCTCACATGATTTTGGTTATATTCTAGGGCCTTCTTAATATGCTTCATATGCTTTCAATCACTTTACTTTAGCATGTTCTTGAGCACTGTTTACTGCCTTCATTCAAAGTTTCTGTATGTTTCAGCTTCTTCTCATTCCTCTTAGATCAACAGACATCAAAAGTAACTGAACTGTGAAGATTTGTTTTTGCCTGAAGAGCCTCAGCATCTTGCGACTTTAACACTTGAACCGCCAACGGGTACATTTTACCCGCAGCTGTTTCTTGATTGTATGTAACTTTTTTTCAATAAAATATTCAAGTCTCCCAGTCCGTGACTTTTCCTGAAAGTGTGTTATGTAGCACCCTCTGTTGTTAAAAATGGTCAATATGAAGTCAGATTGAAAAAATGGCCCAAAAAACGGCCATTTATACCCATTAGCGACAGCGGGTACTATTTACCTTTTAGAAAATGCAGTGATTTTCGCGCTATTGATCTTGCACGAAAACATAAACATGACGTGTTGCTATAGCAACACCTGTTGTTTACTGCGGTTCCTTATAGATAGATAGATAGATAGATAGATAGATAGATAGATAGATAGATAGATAGATAGTTATATATAGAGAGACACTTTGCACATAATACTATACTATAGGCTACTTCATGGAATCTGCGACCCCTGGCAGTTCTAGTGTTAAGTGAAATATTTCTCACCGACAGACGTACATTTGAATTGAATGATAGAATAATATAGGACCGTCCTACTGTCACCCACCAGGGGCTGATTTCATCATCTTAACAATACACAGTTTTTAACGGAGTTGGAATTACTCTTATTGCATGTGGTGTTGAGGTTCATCCTGTGCGGGACATGAATATCCACAGAACATGCCATAACAGTCTGGCAAGTATACTGTAGTAATCTTAGAAATGGTTTGATCTAAATGTTGCATTAATGGAAAGTCATGTAATCACTGAAATGGACTATCCTCTGTGGGCCACATATTCAGTAAATATCATAGTAAAAAGGACAATCTGACAATGGTAATAGTCTGAAGTTTTCTCTGGTGAATATGCTTATACATCATGTATGGCAATCCGGTATAAAATCTTGCAAAGCTGACAATTAAATCTGAGGACAATGTATAATAATTGTTCAATCGATCCAAAAAGGATAGGATAAATGTCTATTATTATCCTAGTTCTAATGAACTTCTTGCAGAGTTCTTTCCTATGCTACCCATACATGTTTAGGGGACAGGACAATCACGTTAAATAAGTTATACATTTTGCTATAAGGGCAAGTCCCTCAGGAAAGACTGCAGATATTTAGACTCACAGAAAGGGCCTTCATTTGCATCGGAAAATCCTTCATAAAAAAAACCCTGACAACTCACACACTTAGAGCCTCAAAGTCACGTGCATACAAAAGTACGTAGATTAGGATTGAGCCCGTATCTGCCTAATAATGGCTTAACATGGCCAACGTTGGGTCTAGGGCAGGGGTATTCAACTAAAATTCAACGAGGTCCAGTTAGAGAAAATCTCCCCATGAAAAGGTCCGGAACATTCAAAATGTCTAACTTGCTTCATGAATTAGTGTGATATATATTGAAGTAGCTTTAGCTTTATCAACGTCTGCATGTGTCACGGCTGCTGCTGCTGTCTGCTCGTTAACCTGTCTAGGATTGTTTTCAGCTGTGTATGTAATATGTATATGAGATGCGCCGTTGCCCGGACGCCATTGGATGCCAGTTTCCTGTCCCTCCTCCGGTAGGCGTGACCGAAGATCTGGATTGGAGCAGGTCGGGCCCGACTCACCAATCCCTGCCCACACCTTCCGGGGACTCTTACAAGAGTGTGTGCATCTCAGTTAGACGGGAGAGGTCTGTGTCAGACGTCTCTCGGTGCTCTCCTTATGTTCTGTGTAGCTCTGTGCTAGTTCTGATATAGTGGTTAGTTAGGATGTGTGTATTCTGTGATTTGTGACGGCGTCGAACTTGTGCGAGGCGCCTCACTATTTTAGCCGTAAGTGCCCATGACTGTGATAATCTGTGGCCTTCGTTTTGTGTAGCGTCATTTTGAACAGACAGCTGGTTTTAAGAGCCTGTAGTTTTTGTTATATCATCTTTATTTTGAGTTTATTATTAAAATCAACCTCTTACCAAGAACACCTGGTTTCGTGTTGCTTCCCTTTTACCCTAAGCGAGCTGGGGACGTAACCTATTTGGGGGCTCGTCCGGGATATCTGTGTCCACGGCCTGGGCCTGGCCATCAACAGAGCCATCAACATCGCCCTCCAGCTGCAGGCCAGCAGCCAGGGGGTGCTGCAGCTGGCAGCCAACACCTCCACCGTGGAGCTGGTGGACGACCTGGAGCCTGAAGATCCAGACGAGGCCGGCGAGCACCTGACGCGTACACGCAACAACTCAGCCATTCATATCAAGGTTTTCTACCCTGACCCCCAGTGACCGAAGTAGAGGTGTGCTATTTGTTCCCTCATAAACCAGTAAAGATGATATAACAAAAACTACAGGCTCTTAAAACCAGCTGTCTGTTCAAAATGACGCTACACAAAACGAAGGCCACAGATTATCACAGTCATGGGCACTTACGGCTAAAATAGTGAGGCGCCTCGCACAAGTTCGACGCCGTCACAAATCACAGAATACACACATCCTAACTAACCACTATATCAGAACTAGCACAGAGCTACACAGAACATAAGGAGAGCACCGAGAGACGTCTGACACAGATTCAGACCTCTCCCGTCTAACTGAGATGCACACACTCTTGTAAGAGTCCCCGGAAGGTGTGGGCAGGGATTGGTAAGTCGGGCCCGACCTGCTCCAATCCAGATCTTCGGTCACGCCTACCGGAGGAGGGACAGGAAACTGGCATCCAATGGCGTCCGGGCAACGGCGCATCTCATATACATATTACATACACAGCTGAAAACAATCCCAGACAGGTTAACGAGCAGACAGCAGCAGCAGCCGTGACACCCCACCCCTTAAGACACAAACTCACAGTTTTGTTAACCATGCCTACTACTAAACCTACCTAATCATTCTGAAGGACTAAAAGACTACACACAATACACATAACAACCAGGGATGTTTGACCTCTCAAGGACTAACGGACTCTGAAGGACTATAACGGACTCTTAAGGACTCAAGGACTCTGAAGGACTCTGAAGGACTCATAAGGACTCTTAAGGACTCAAGGACTCTGAAGGACTATAACGGACTCATAAGGACTCTGAAGGACTAACAAACTCACAAGGACTCATACGGACTCTGAAGGACTAACAAACTCACACGGACTCATAAGGACTCTGAAGGACTAACAAACTCACAAGGACTCATAAGGACTAACGGGCTCTGAAGGACTCTTAAGGGCTCATAAGGACTCTGAAGGACTAACGGGCTCTGAACATCACATAATCTGAACATCACATAATCTGAACATAATCTGAACATAATCTGAATATCACATAATCTGAACATCACAATCTGAACATCACAATCTGAACATAATCTGAACATAATCTGAATATCACATACTGACTTGTTGTTCAGGTCAAACAACAAAAACATTGCCTCCAAGAAATGCAGCTAGATAGTTCATTTGTGAAAATACGTAGATCCACATAACAACTGAGTACTCTTGCCAGTGTTTGCTTTCATTGTTAAATCTGCTTTAAATAGGACCGGTGTAACAACTCATCGACGTTTTCCCGATGTAAATATGCTTTTAGAAAACGTTTAGTATCAGTAAAACACTCTACACCACAATACGATCCGGCAAACATTTCTTAAATTCTTCTAACAGAAGCAATTCTCGCAGAGAAGCAAAATCATTCGCTTTACATGTTGTGACCCATTTATCGGACATGCTTCCCTTTTCCCTGCCGAACTCCACATATGTTTGTCAGTCTCACTGAATACCACAACCAAAGAAATATTTCTGCTAATATCAAAGCCAACAGAATTCAAGTTAGTGGAACTGTAAACCCTTTTATAGACCCTTAATTGGACCTTGAAATTAAAGACACTTGTACATTTGGCACAGCTATATCTACAAGTATTACATTACATTGAGGTGGTAATCACCATTGCTGCCTCAATACATGCAAAGTAAATAAAAAACAACAATTTGCAATTGACAACAAGAGCTTAATGTATTTAGTCAACTAAAGTTGTCCCAATCGGAGCATCCTGCTCCATTCTGCAGTCCTCTGCTGCTGTCCTCAAATATCTCCACACACAGACAACAGTACTCAGTTGTTATGTGGATTGTGGATGTGTAATCAACAACTGACTGCCAATCAAATAAAGAAAGTACAATTCAAAAACAACAATATTTATTGTCAATTAACATTGAACTATACAGATATACAGTAAATACTGTGGATATGTGTAATGTTCATCTTGGGCTGCATTTAAAAATAGAGAAAATAAATAAAATAGCTTTTGAAAAGATAAATAAAATAAAGTGTAGCAGCAGCTTGAGTTTCTCTTTTTCTTTGTTAACCGTTTCACATCATGACTTAACAGTTTCAGCCGATTATAGAACAATATCAGTCTTTACACATCATAACAATTGAACAGTTTAAAGTTTCTCTTTCTTTCCCTCTTATATTGCAGTCCCTCACTCACTTAAAGTGGCTACTGGTCACTAGGGGCAGGTGGGGCACAGCCCCACCTAGTGTCAGCAGAAAGTATTAAAAATAATGATTACAAAAAAATGCAAACAATAAATTAAAAAATATATTAAATATATTTTAAGATCATGTTTAATCACCTGATTCGTCTGTACATTGCTGTTTTAGTCTATGTTCTTCTAATTAGTTTCTATAGTGTGTGCCTATTGAGCTGTTTAGAACCATGTGGGACAAAAACCGATCCTGCCCCTCCCTCTCACTTTCTAAGTGAACGGTGACTGTAAAAACTACACTGCGCATGCTCAGAATATTTTCCCATTTAATGTGTGGGGCAAAACAATTATGACCATAGGGGCATAGAGCTGCCAGCCCCACCATACGTCATCTCACATCATTCAGAGCTGATTGGCTGTAAGTACGTGCCGCGAAAAGTGTGGTGTGTGAAGAGGAGACGAGAGAGCTGCAGTGACGCGTCCTAAAACCCGGAAGTAAGCTGCGCATGGCTTCCCTCGACAAAAAAGCAATGAGATTTCTCCATAGGATTTTAGAAAATAGCTCCAAATAAGATCTGTGGGAAACGTAGCTGTTAGATAAATGCACGTTTTGTTCAGCCGGATAATATCCACATGTCTACCGTACTTTTATAATTTTCGAATCATAAATCTATTGATTAGATTTATGATAGACTTTTGAAACTACAAGAAGATAAGGACGACTTTTACAAAAAAGTAATAGAGATTTTTGTCCAGAAGGATAGGAAAATGAACTTAATCTTCAAGTCAAGGTAAGACCGCAATTTTATTGAAAATGGGATCTTACTAAGAGAGAACAATTCAATATTTAAATGATACAATTACATTTTGTAGGTATCCTTTTGTTGAACTGTCTGTTTAAAATTAATTGAAGCATCAGACAAAAAAAGATTTTGAAAATAATATTACATTTTGATTTAGGTCAAAATATAATATTTGTAAACCTGAAGAGTCAGTGCCAGTGCCTCACCAGCCATGAACCTCACTGCAGAAGCTTATATATAGACATCTACGTTGTTTGTGCCCCACCACTTTTGTACATATAAAAACGCCACTGCTCACTTTGTTTTAATTCAGTGCGAGAATTGAGCTTGAGCTTGTCCTGCCAGAAGTTTAGATCTGGGCTGAAATGGTGTCAGGGCCATTCTCATACACACACATGCAGGTGCTCATTGGTTAGCCTCGGTTAGCCTGCCCTGGAACGATATTTAGTTTTAATTTGGATCCTGGTGGACTGATCATATTGGGCTCTGAGACTGCTTATTTGACCTCAGTTCTGACTTGAGAGCATAGGCGGCGCGTGAGGCTCAGGTTTGGGAAGGCTAAATAACTTTTTTTTACCTGACGCTGCCCGGCTCCGGCGTCTTTAGAAAAGAGATCAACTCAGTGAAAGCACCGCCTGCTGACCAATCAGAGCTCAGTGTGCGGAGTTTGAATCAAGTCATATTACAGGATAAAGGAAATACAGTTTAAACTGCCTTATGCAGAGAAGATGCCGACGTGTCGCACTTTATCCTTCAGATATAATATCATAATATATCACATTTCCTTATCTGAGTCAGCTTCTCGAGCCGTATCTGGCCGTGCATCACCTACATTGTCACATACTGTATGCAGAAGTATTATTTTAAGCAACACATTAAGTTGACTAAACACTCAACTCAAATGTAATTAAAGTCAGATCCACTCGTGTCTTAGATGGGGCAGTGATATCATAAAACTGTTGTACCCTTTTAAACACTCGGTAGTTATTTTTTAACCAGTTGTTCTGTATTCACCTTGCAGGTGCAACTCTGTGGCTTGTATCCTGGATTATATGTTTAATCATGGATGGTTAAAGTTCATATTTGTCTAATATTAGTTTTTTAACCAGTTGTGCTGTATTCACCTTGCAGGTGTAACTCTGTGGCTTGTATCCTGGATTATATGTTTAATCATGGATGGTTAAAGTTCATATTTGTCTAATATTAGTTTACTTTTCATTAATGAAGTATGACGCTGCGCTGTCCCTATTTGTGAATGGTCAAATGTTGCTAACGCCGCCACTTTCATGTGAACGCGCTCTCAGCTGGAGAGAGAAACCCTGGCTGGATTTACCGAGTTGATAACCAGCGTCGTAGAACCGCTTAGCGAGATCTCGTTTGTTAGTTTGTTGTTGTTAGTTAGTTTGTTACTCAAATATATCCAGGGTCTGTTGAACTGGCTTCGTAGTACAGGGCACAGGTGGCTGCATAGCAGCGCTAATGTCAAAGACACAAACATTATACATTATATTTTTATTTTACCAGGATGCAGTGACACAAATATTTGGGAAGGCTTAGCCTTAGTCCAGGTTTAAAGTCCTCTTAAGGAAACAGCTTCAGCCAGTGATAATGTGACATTCAGTGGTGTGGAACAGTGACTTTGCACAGAGCTGACCGAGTGCCATATTTATAAAGACAACCATGACCAAACACACCCATAAGGCTAAATTAGCTAATTTCTTCTCCGACCTTGTCAAGTAACTCTTTGTTGGAGGAAACACCCATGTTGATATGGTTTACATAGGCTACCACAAAGTCTAAACATACTATTTGTTTTTGCCTTGAAGGGAAACATAACTCCCCTTTCTGTGAAGTTTGAAGGACCTTATTTGCGCGATAACTCCCTCCACAACTTTTATCTACTCTGTTGTGTTCAGGAATTATTGTGTTTTTGAATTTGTGTAACTACAGCTGAATTAAAAAAATCTTCCAGTTAGGCTTTCCTGTGAAATAAATACCATCAGACATATTATATTTGGACTGCCGGATAGCTCAGTGGTTAGAG